TATCTATCTATCTATCTATCTATCTATCTATCTATCTATCTATCTATCTATCTATCTATCTATGGTATATATATAAATGTGTATATGGCATTCAGCTTTGTTCGGGTATTTTCCCATGTCATTGTAGTTGTGCTTTTAAAGTTGTAGCAACGTTTCGGCAGAATCTCATCTGCCATCATCAGGCTTCTGTATAGTGTTCATCTGTCATACATGTAAGTACCCGCGAAAACTTGAGAAAACAAATGTGTATATATATATATATGTATATATGTGTGTGTGTGTGTGTGTGTGTGTGTGTATAATTATTTCTTGTTAAAATTATATCTTTCTTTTTCTTTTTCCTAAGTATATAGGACACCTACTCCCACCAAGCCATGCCCACAGCTGATTGGCTGTCTTCTTTGGTTGCCCTGCACAGGAGAACGGAGCTGGAAAGCAGGTTAGTGGGGTGGGGAGGGAATGGGGATTTTACAGTATCCTTCTCCTGCCACGCCCACCAAGCCACGCCCACAGAGCCGGTAGTTAAAAAAAATTGAATCCCATGGCTGAATACAACCAGGCAGGAGGACAGACAGCTGAGCTTCAGTGCTCAGTAATTTTATTTCTGAATCACCATAAAACAGTCCCTGGCTTCGTGCATCTACAAAGGACCACAATCTGGTGGTTAAGTTTTGGCTCAGCAAGTTGTATGAATGCCACACTGTGGGTTGCATGTTATGGTGTACATCTTAGCGTTGCTACGCAAATCTGGCCACTAAATTAGTCAACAAGCCATAACTAAAACAAACAATGTGTAATCCAGCCTATACACACACACACACACACATACAGTACACACACCCAGAGACTATACAGTTTCGACAAGGAACCTATCAGCCTTTCATCTTTCATCATCGTAAGATTATGAAACGAAATGGATCCTGGAGGAGGCGGGAGGGCACAGAATCTATAATCCAGATTCCTGATCCACTATGAAGCCCTTAAAGTGATCTTGCACAGTTCAAGTGGCTTAGTGAAGGGGCCCAATTCCCTACGTTCACAAACACAAAAGCTCCTCAATTAACTGTCCCAACTGGGCCACGCTAGAGAGACAGTCCTCCACTTATGACCATAAGTGAAGTGAACCCCTGCGATTGTTAAGTTAGTAACACGATTGTTAGGTGAACCTGGCTTGCCCATTGCTTGTCAGAAGGTCGCAAAAGGAGATGACATGACTCTGGGACAGGGGTCTCCAACCTCGGCAACTTTGAGACTTGTGGACTTCAACTCCCAGAGTTCCTCAACCAGCATAGAATTCTGGGAGTTGAAGTTCACAAGTCTTAAAGTTGCCAAGTTTGGAGACCCCTGTAATAGGATTAACCCATTTAGCAGCAGTGCTCACCACATGGCACCATCACCTGGGGACACTGCATCCCCCAGCAAACTTCAACCAAACCTGGGACTCAAGACAACCTACAAAGCTATGACATCTGCAACAGCCAATAGAATACATGTTCTTGCACAGGAACAGGAAGCTCAAGTGCAAAGCCCAAGAGAAGCTTCGCTGGCTGAGGAACTCTGGGAGTTGAAGTCTGCAAGTCTTCAAGTTGCCAAGGTTGGAGACCCCTGATCTGGGAAACTACAACCGTCATAAATATGAACCAGTTTCTGAATTTTGTGACTATGTGACTACGGGGATTCTGCAATTATCCTAAGGGTGAAAAAAGACCATAAATCACATTTTGGGGGGCCATTGTGACTTTGGTCACTAAACAAACTGTTGTAAGTCGAGGACTACCTGTAGTTACCAAACCACGCTTTAGCCTAGAGTATTCTGTGAAGAGCCACTGTCTCTCAACTTGAGTTATTTTGCAGGATTCTTAGGCGGATTTAAAAAAAGGGGCGAACCAGGTATTTTGTGCTAAAGTCATCATAGGAGAGTTAATAACTATAATAGGGGATGCGGTGGCACAATGGCTAAGACGCTGAGCTTGTCAATGAGAAAGGTCAGCAGTTCAGCGGTTCGAATCCCTAGCGCTGCGTAATGGAGTGAGCTCCCGTTACTTGTCCCAGCTTCTGCCAACCTGGCAGTTCGAAAGCACGTAAAAAAATGCAAGTAGAAAAATAGGGACCGTTTTGGTGGGAAGGTAACAGCGTTCCGTGCGCCTTCGAAGGTGTTTAGTCATGCCGGTCACATGACCATGGAGACATCTTCAGACAGCGCTGGCTCTTCGGCTCTGTGACAGAGATAAACACCGGCCCCTAGAGCCGGAAATGACCAGCACGGATGCGCGAGGGGAAGCTTTACCTTTAACTCTATAATGAATCTGGAAAATATTTGAGATGAAGGAGTTGCAGTGGCAAAATATTAATTTGGGGATACGGTACAAACTGATGTAGTGATATCTTTATGCAGATAGTCCTTGAGTTACAACCATTCATTTACAGGAGGGAGCATTTGAAGCGAATTATTGAACAGCGCTGAAAAAAGTGACTTATGACTGTTTTCCGCATTTACAAACGTTGCAGCATCCTCACGAATACATGATCAAAATTCAGACATTTGTATCAAATTTAATTAGTGGAATGGCTTGCCTCCCAAAGTTGCCTGCTTGACGATCAGCTGTTTCTGCGCATGCGGCAATGCTGGAAATGGGAAGAGATGGTCTTCCGGTTTCCGTTGTGGGCATGCGTGCTGGCCAGCTGATCGTGGCACGCGCATGCGCACCAGTAACTGGAAGACAAATTGTTCAGTGCTCATGTGCAGGTCGGAAAGCGGAAGTTCATTTTCCAGCACGCGCATGTCCACTGGGCAACTTCTCTTCCGGGGTGCATCCCTGACGAGCATGTGCATGCGCGCACTCCCTTTTCGGCACTTACTGCTATAGGGCAAGGGGTCTCCAACCTTGGCAACTTTAAGCCTGGGGGACTTCAACTCCCAGAATTCCTCCTCCAGTCATGTTAGCTCAGGAATTCTGGGAGTCGAAGTGCACAAGTCTAAAACTTGCCAAGTTTGGAGAACCTTGCAGTAGACCAATCCCAACTCATAGACCAAACCCCGCTCCCTTCTAGCACTGATCGTATTACCTAGTTGGGTAATGAAACATCTGCAAGAAAACCACCAAGCTCAGGGAACATCAAAGACCCCACTGTTCAACTCTGAGCTACAAATATTATCTTCTATAAGGCCAGAGGTCTCCAACCTTGGCAAGTTTAAGACTTGTGGACTTCGACTCCCAGAATTCCTCATCCAGTCATGTTAGCTCAGGAATTCTGGGCGTTGAAGTCCACAAGTCTTAAACTTGCCAAGTTTGGAGACCCTTGGTTAAGTTAGTTATAGTTTAGGCCATGCCTGAATTAATTCTGAAACTCTTGAGTTCTTGTCTGGACCATCCATTCCCCAGTCTTTCTTCCCAATTCTTTCCACGTCGGAACTGGAAGGCAAGATTTCAGCCAGCTCTCTCCAAGGAGGCCCTCAAAAGTTAAGGGTCTGACTCACATCCCCCAACACATTTTCTCTTCCACTCTGTCCATAGTCCCCATTAGCCAGACTGTTTTCTCTCTCGGTGACCCTAAACCGTATCTTGCTTGCTTGCTTGCTTTTTTTCTGTTTGTGTGTGTGAGAGAGACAGGATGTGCAAAACAGGACGAGTCCTGATAAGGATGGCCTTGCTACTTCAGACCAAAAAAATGTCCAGGGACTTCTCTGTCCTAACAAATACTTCACTGTTTCTCCACTTCAGCAACTCTAAGAAGGGGTGTGTGAACTTAAGAAGGGTGTGAAGTCCACGCTTCTTAAAGTTGCTTGAGTTGAGAAAGGCTGGGATGGCTTTTTAGGGCCAAGGTCTTCACTGCTCTGCTCAAGCTACGGCAATCACTCCTATGCCCGGCTTATTTGCTTCCTCCTTCTGCCACCCCAAATCCTCCCAGATACACGGAATTTTCAAGGCGTGGAAAAGTGGCACCCTGCGGGATGCTTCGATTCGGCAGGCCAGCTCGTCTCTTAACACCCACACCCACAGACACAGACACAAACACACACCTCCTTGGAAGGGAAAGGAAGCAGCACTCCTGAATGAAAAAAAAAAAAACCCAACAACTTTCTACCTCTCCAACTTTTCTTCTTTCAACCCTCCAGTTATAAGCAACTTTCTTCAACATGCTGCAGATCGGAAATGCACTCAAAAAGCATCTGAGAGCGTTTAGGGACGGAAAGCTACCCTCCTCCTCCTCCTCCTCCTCCTCCTCCTCCCGCCTTCAGCAGGCTGCTTTCCATCCCTCACCCCCCCTCCCCTCTTACAAATTTTCCTCCAGGCAGGCGGGCAGCAGATCCACCCGAGATGCTTTCGGGATGACGCTACCCTTGCCAGCCAAGGTGTGGCTGCCGGCTGGCAGCAGGAAGGAAACAGCAAGTGGCAAGCCGGGCCACTCAGCGTGCCAGCGTCTAAACAGTTGTGCCAATCTTTACACCCTCCACCCCACCCCCCCAAAAAACACACACCCCTCCTCCAATTCCACATACTCACCAGCGGGCAGGGAAGGCCAGGGAAGAGGGGCAGGCAGAGGAATTCTGCGTAGAGAAAGGGGAAAAAAAAGAGAGAGCTGACACAGAGAGCGGTACGGGGAAGAGTCTGGTTTTGTGTCGAGGGGCGGAAACCAGCCAGCAACAAAATAGTTAGCCAGCGGAGAGGGGGGGAGGGAAGCTGGGCCCACGGGGGGGGGGGGGGAAACCGGGGGGGGGGGGGTGAAGCGGGCGGGCGGGCAGGACATAGCAGGGTCCTAAAGGCCAACTGGTCTAAAGGAGAACAGGCAGGATGGATACCCAACCGGGCGTTTGGAAGAGGCGCTGGCCAAGTGTTCTTTTTTAAACGAATCCCATCCAACGTCCAGCGACAAAGAGCCCGTTTCAATGGGAAGAAATTTCTCAAATCTACGGAGAAATGTCCTGACAGCGGGAACAATTAATCAGCAGGACGACTGAAGCCCAGAAATTCCATCGCTGGAGGTTCTTAAGAAGAAGACAGACACTTGTCTGAAATAGTGTAGGATCTCCTGCTTGAGCAAGGGGCTGGACTAGAAGACCTCCAAGGTCCCTTCCAACTGTGCTGTAGTGTTCTTGAATCCTATTTTGTTTATTGTAACTGTTCAGGTTTCTAATTTTAATGCTTGATGTTTTAATATTTCTAACTCTTCACTGCTTATATTTTCCTTATTTTCACCCCGCCTTTTTTATTATTTTTACAAATAACTCAAGGCAGCAAAGATATCCAATGTGCACCATATTCCTTCCTCCTCTTCTTTTCCCCAAGACAACAACCCTGCAAGGTGGGTTGAGCCAAGAGAGAGGAAATCACCTAGCTGGCTCTCATGGCTAAGGTGGGACTTATTTATTTATTTGTTGTTTTTACGATAATTAATCTAAGATGCCTGGGCTTGCTTGACAGTGAGATGGGCGGCATATAAATTGAATTAATAAATAAAAATAATATACATAAATAACAACAGCCTAGCCTGTTTCCCTTCTGCTTTCATTGGGGGGAAATTTTAATTCTACTTCATTTGACGTTATTTATAAAACCGCCTGAGACGGTGAGAAAGACAGCATAAAAACTTAATAATAAATCAAAATAATAATTTAATTTCAGACATTACTCTATGGAATAATTAGAATTAGAATTCTTTTATTGGCCAAGTGTGATTGGACACACAAGGAATTTGTCGTGGTGCAAATGCTCTCAGTGCACGTAAGAGAAAAGATACATTTGTCAAGAGTCAAGAATCATCAGGTACGACACAATAATAGTCATAGGGTACAATAAGCAATTGAATCATACTAGGAAACAGTCAATATAAATCGTAAGGATAGAAGTGACAAAGTTACAGTCATACAGTCATAAGTGGGAGGGGATGGGTGATAAGGAGTTATGAGAAGATTAACAGTAATAGTAGTGCAGACTTTGGACAGTGTTAAGGGAATTATTTGTTTAGCAGAGAAATGGCTTTCGGGGAAAATTGGTTGCAATCCTAAAAAGGCGGATTCACTTAACAATCCTGCTACTAATTTAACAACTGCAGTGATTCACTTAATAACTATGCCAAGGAAGGTCTTAAATGGGGCCAAACTCATTTAACAAATGTCTCACTTAGCAACAGAAATGTTGGGCTCAATTGTGGTCGTACGGCAAGGACTGCCTGTCCTGAGAATAACAATGGATAGCCAATAAATATACAACATACAGCATGCTGACTGGCTGGGGAATTCTGGGAGTTGAAGTTCACTCATCTGGAAATTGACATATTTGAAAAAAAACCAATATAGAAGCCACTGTGTAAGATCCACTAACAAAAACCAGCAAAATACTGTTGACATAATATACTTAGATTTCAGCAAGGCATTCAACAAAGTAGACCACAACTTACTTTTTTGGTAAGCTAGAAAAAAGTGGGATATATAGCACCACCACTCGATGGATTCGCAACTGGCTGACAAACTGTACTCAACGAGTAGTCCTTAATGGGTCTAAGGCTACATGGAGGGAAGTAAGCAGTGGGGTGCCACAAGGTTCCGTCTTAGGCCCAGTACTCTTCAATATCTTCATTAACGACTTAGATGAGGGAATAGAAGGGGGACTTACCAAATTTGCAGATGATACTAAGCTGGCAGGAATAGCTAACACCCAAGAAGATAGGCTCAAGATCCAGATGGATCTTGACAGACTAGAACACTGGGCCATATCTAATAAAATGAAATTCAATATAGAGAAAAGTAAAGTCCTACACTTAGGCAAGAAAATCCAAAAGTACACATATAGACTGGGTGAAACCAGGCTCAATAGCAGGAACTGGGAGAGGGATCTTGGAGTCTTAGTGGACAACCAGCTAAGTAGGAGCCAGCAGCACGCAGCAGCAGCCAAAAAAGCCAATGCAATCCTAAGTTGCATTAACAGAGGGATACAATCAAGGTCAAGCGAGGTACTAATACCACTCTATGAAGCCTTAGTAAGGCCACACCTAGAATACTACATCCAATTTTGGTCACCACACTATTGAGTGTGAGACTCTAGAAAAAAGGCAGAGAAGAGCAACCAGGATGATTAGGGGACTGGAAGCTAAAACACACAATGAATGGTTGCAGGAACTGGGCTTGGCTAGTCTAGTAAAGAGAAGGACCAGGGGAGACATGATAGCGGTCTTCCAATATTTGAGGGGCTGCCCCAGAGAGGAAGGGGTCAACTATTTTCTAAAGCACCCGAAGGCCAGACAAGGAATAAAAGATGGAAACTGGTCAAGGAGAGATTTAACCTGGAAATAAGGAGAAACTTTCTGACAGTGAGAACAATGAATCGATAGAACAAAAGTTGCCCTCAGAAGTTGTGGGAGCGCCATCACTTGAGACCTTCAAGAAGAGATTGGACTGCCCTTTGTCAGAAATGGTTTAGGGTCTCTTGCTTGGGCAGGGGGTTGGACTAGATGACCTACAAGGTCCTTTCCAACTCAATCTGTTATCTGTTAAAAGCAATATACAAGAAACCACACCACAACAATCTGCTTTCTGTTTTTCCTCCTCCTTGAATGTTTCAACTCCTATGAACTCATTGGTTTTTATCCTTCTCTGCTATGGCTGTGCAATATGGAATAAACAACAACATCTGACTGCATTATACAAATACAGGTGGCGAGACACAAAGAGGAGACTAGGCCAACAGGAGGCTATAAATAGCCGCTTTTGTCAACCTTTTACTTAAGGGCTCTATTTATGTTTATGCGCGTCCTGAAAAAACTTCATTTGTTTTGCCTTTCGCCTTTCACGGGCACAGTTAAGCTGATCATTTCAGGAACAGGCACGCCAGGAGGTGCCCAGGATGAAACTTTTGGGGTAGACTCCAGTTAAAGGCAGGAAGGTACAGCCAACAAAATAGATGATGTGTTTTTAAAACGTGATTATAGGTAGTCCTCGACTTAAAACTTGTTTGGCAGTTCGAATCTCACCAGGCTCAAAGTTGACTCAGCCTTCCATCCTTCTGAGGTCAGTAAAATGTGGACCCAGATTGTTGAGGACACTATGTGGACTCTGTAAATCGCTTAGAGAGGGCTGTAAAAGCACTGTAAAGCAGTATATAAGTCTAAGTGCTATGGCCCGGCTTCCTTCCTTCCTTCCTTCCTTCCTTCCTTCCTTCCTTCCTTCCTT